GCACCCACTCCCCCCACTTTTTTTCCCTATCCCTTAACAAAAACAATCTAAAACCCTCCCCCTTCCCCAAATCAAAAACAGCGATCCCCTCCCCCTTCTTCTCCCCAATATTTTTTTAACTTCACCAAATCTCTTATCCTTTTCCCTCTTCTATACTCAACCACTACCCAAACTCCATTCCTCACAAGATCTTCAAGTATGTAACATGCTTCTACTCTCTTTTTTTTTAAGTTTTTTCTCAATTTTATTTTCATTCTTTTTTCTTCCATTGTAAGTGCAAGATAGTAGAAGTTATGGGTACTCTTATCTTTGGTTCTGATTGTTGTTATATATGCTGGTATGTGAGGATATTAGATTTGGTTGGGTTGGGGAAGACATTGTTAAGTTGTAGAAGATGGAAGTTTAATTGAGTCTTTGGGTACACTGCAGGCATATGCACAGTAGGTGTTTGTTGAATTGCCACAATGAGTTTTTTTTAGTATTAATTGTGACCAATGGTGCGGGTGAAGTCTGAGTAACCGCCCTTGGTTCACATATTCCGCCGATTATTGATAGTTGTGGTTGTTGTGTAGGTACCATGAGATCTTCAAAGAAGAGACGCACTACCGGTGCCTCATCAAGTTGTCATGGAAGCTCGTCCTGGGGCCAGTTTAACTCAGTTTGATCGCACCAGGTTTGTCTCCAGGGCTGCCCAAGACCATTTCGGTTGGAAGGCTATTAGAAAGCCTGTACCGGAAAGGGGAGTTTACAGGGCATCCCTCCAGGCTATGTGCCCTAATATGTACAGGGAGTTGATTAGGCGCAGGCTAGAGATCTTCTTCGAAGAGCTGGAGGACGGTAACTTGATGCTTGTTAGGGGATTCTTCGCTAACTGTTCTGAACATGAGGATCACATCTGCACTGTGCGACAAAGGAGGGTGAATGCCTCGCTTGAAGCCATCAGGAGAGTGTATCGCTTCCCTGTATTCACTGAGGAGCTGGATTATTATGATACTTACCGGCGAGAACCAACAAATTGGCAATTGTTTTTTAGAACTATCTGTGTAACAGACGAAGAGGTAGTGTGGGTTGTACCAGGATCAAAGTTGCACTCCGCCTCACTCACCTTTGAAGGGAAGTGTTGTTGTACATCATCAATAGTCGACTGCTGCCGTCCCACAACACCACTAAGGTAAATGGTCCGAGATCTAATTTGATCTGGTGCTTCGTGAATGGCCAAGATTTTGATGTGGTCAAGGTTAATTAAAAGGGCCCTTGATTAATCGTGTCTAGTTATCTTATGTTTCTTAAGAAAGAACACTTGGTTAGATTGTTGTTGAACAACACCACTTTCGGGTAAGTTAAGAGATTAATTACTTGAATTTAAAAGCAGGGTTAAAGA